ATTCTTCAGGTTTATAATCATCAATTCCTCTATTTTGAGAGCTCCCTAAAAGTAACAGGCATATTTTAGAAAGTGCTCCAATAAGGGATACTATTGCTCTCTAGAATCCTTTTTAGGCAGACAAAAAGCAGGCAGAGGATGAAGAGAATGAGGAAAAGAAAATCACACAGATAAATTGGACAGAAGTGTGCTTAGGAAGCTTTTGCTGCCCATTAGCCTGGACAGAACACTTTGTGCCAGTGAAGTGCATAAACTGTTCTATCAAGCCCAGTACCCAGCAGTCAGTGAATGATCCAGGGCTGTACTAGTGGTTAATTTGTAAAATGAAGGCAACTACAGCTCACCAGAGGGCACACATGCACATTTTAAATTTCACCAGTGTTCAAAAGTTCTCTTTCTATTTTTGTTTCATACACTACGTCGAGTGCAATGAAAACTTGATTCAAGGCACAGCAGTTTGAGTCAGAGTCACTGAGAAATCCTGGCTCAAACAAAAATATTAGTACATACACACAGAGATCCTCCCTTCAAGTAGAAAACTTAAAGAAGAAAGTAAAAAAAGAGGAAGAATTCAGCCTACCGTAGTTTTCTCCCTACATTAGGTTTCCATTTAAAAATGAATAAATGAGAAAGCATCCAAATATAAGCTTGCATACTGACACTATGCAGTGGACATTTCCAGAATCAGACCTCTATCTAAAAATGTTGTTGTGGACTTTTATGCTAGTGGTTGCATATTTTTAGAGATGGCACAACGGTGACATCCAATACAGGAATGTATTGTGCAAAGCAGTTGCCTAGAAGATTGCATGAGAAGTTTTGCTGTAAGATGTGATTGAATCACATCTTTCACAATCATTTAGCACAACTATTTGCACAAAGATGTAATCCAGCACAACTGTGCTAGCAAGAATTTTCTCTCTGCTGGTGCTACATTGGATTGATTGCACAGTTTTATGAGTTGATCTGTTTGTTTATCTACTTACATAATTATTTAAATGTCACCACATTTTAGGATCAAGTCCTTGGAAGGAATTTTTTATAATAAAATATGTAAAATATAAGCCAGAATTCTAAATTGTTTTACTTATGGGTAACTAAGGGCTCAAGCAGACAGATGGCTTGGAGGGGCCTCTGGTTGCTCCAGCCATGATGGAGCCCTGAGTGGCATGGGAATGCAGCAACTGGATGCCGCAGTGGTCCCGAGGCTGGCCACTGCCACAGTCTGCAGCAGACCTTGGTATGGCTTCTGGCTGATCTGGGGGCACTTCACGCCCCCAGATTGGCCCAAAGGTGGTACTATTTGCCCATTTGTTTCGAGCCTTAGTTATGAATCTTGCAGCATCTTTGAGACTAACTGTGAAAAAGAAGTTGTAGCATGAGCTTTTGTAGACTTGGTCTACTTCGTCAGATGCAGATGTACATGTAACTAAGGCTGCATTCACACTGAAGAAATAATCCATTTTTATACTACGTTAACTGCCATGGCTCAGTACTATGGAATTATGGGAATTTTAGTTTGCTATGGCACTGGAGCTCTCTGACAGAGAAGGCTAAATGTCTCATAAAAGTACAGTTCCTAGAATTCCATAGCATTGAGCCACAGCAGTTAAAGTAGTGTCAAACTGGATTATTTCTGCAGTGCAGATGTAGTCCAAATAGCATCTCCTAGCCTGAACCTCTCCCCCAACCTACCTTACCAAGTAGATTAGGTGAAGGAAGGTTGTTCAGAAGGGTACAGAAGGGTGGCATTTCCACTCATCTTTTGCCAGCCAGCAAGGCTGCAACGAAGGTTCTGCTTCCAATTGTTGCAGTCTCCCTGTCATTTGAGAAAAGAGTGGAAATGTCACTGTTCTCTGCCATGATTACCAGATGAACAGGCCTCTTTCACCCAATCTGGTGGCTGCCTGGTAAAATAGGTTTTGGAGAGCATTCACAATTGTGGCAATAGTGCCACTATCATGATTACATAGTGAATCATTTAGAGATCCATAACTTGAGATTACACATCTGTAACTGCACTACTAAAGTCCAGAAATAGTACAGTGTAAAAATCTAAATACATCAAAGGCCTGAACCTCTGTGTACTAAAAAAAAAAAATGACTTCAGAAGAGGAGAATGAGTTGACTGTTCTTTCAAAGTGGAACAAAGGAGGATAACATATTTGGGAGTTATTAATTACAAAGAACAATAGTTTATTATTTCAAAATAATTTTGAAAAAGTCTTGAAAGTAATTAAAAAAGAGTTAGAAAAATGGAGAAAGTAAAATCTTTATAATAAAATATGTAAAATATAAGCCAGAATTCTAAATTGTTTTACTTATGGGTAACTAAGGGCTCAAGCAGACAGATGGCTTGGAGGAATCACAGTAATAAAAGCAAATGTTTTACCAAGACTGTCATTCTACTTTCAAACAATTCCTGTCATAAGAAATTGAATACCCTTTTTGCAAGGGAAGAAAGAAATTTCCAGATTTGTCTGATAGGCAAAGAAACCCACAGTTTATAATCCTAAAGGAAGTGGTTGTCTGGGATTTCCTAATCTTAGAGATGAGAGAATTTTGGAACCTGAAGGTCAGGATTTAAGAATTGGGTGGCATGGTATGATAAAGGAACCTGCTGAATTTAAAAATCATTATATCAGAAACCTGCTCTGTGAGTTTGGTATGAATACAAGCAGATGCTTTTTCTTAAGACAATATTAGCTTACCACAGGAAGTTTTTTTCAGAAAAGAGTGGGGTAAAAATCAGAGATGGTTATTTTATCATGATCTTATGTATCTGGAGTAAGACAGTTGGGAGCTTAAGTAAAGATAGATGCTTCTCAAAGAAGGCAAAGATCTTAATTGGTTTGCTTATATGCAATTTAAGGAGAGATTTAATCAGGATAAGAGAGATTTAGTCATAGAGGCTGGAGAAAATGAAGTCTTAGAACTGTGGAAGGATCATGATTATGTAATTTTAAAAAATCTATAAATATCTTTTCAAACTAGAAAGAGAAGATGAACCTGTAAATGATTATATAATAAAATGGGCCCAAAAGTTTGGGCATAATTTCCAAATGGCTGTATGAGGGAAAAAGTGGACTAGAGAGATAGTATTTACCTTGTGCAATAGTTTAAAATAAAACATGTAAAAAGGAGGTACAAATGGTATGTAACTCCAAATAAAGTGTCAAAAATGTCTAAGAATATCTCAAATCAATGTTGGGGTTGTCAAGATAAAGAGAGCTCATTTTTTCCCCCATATGCATTGGACTTGGAAGAAAGCACAAAGTTATTGGTCTCATTAAAAAAAAAAAAAATTAAAGATAGATTTCACCAGAATTTCTTCTTCTTCTTCTGAATGTTTATTATTTTGGCTGTACATTTGACTCTCTACATTAAAAATAATAAATAAATAATTTAAAAAGAACTGAACCACAACAGAATCCAATGAATAGAAACAGGCCAAAGTAGGGAAAAGAACAACAACAATAATAATTGTATTTTGCTTCTGTAGAGAAGTGGCTAGAGACTCTGATGAGAATAATCCTGGACAGACAAAAATCTTTGTGAGTTGAGATTCGCACTGTGAAAAATTCATAGTGCTTGCTTTGCACAGAAACAGCCTTTTCTATACCGCAAAACAGCCTTTTGCGATCACAAAATAATATTTCTTTCTGTGCATTAAAGATTGCTTCTTGTGCAAATTTTGTATAGAACAAACCCAAAATTGCAAATACATTAGTCTTTAAAAAGACCCTGTAGTTTTCAAAGTCTTTTTCACAGTGGGAAGAAAATTACTAAAATTACTTGTTGCTTCCATTGAGAAGAAAATTAGTAAAGAATTATATCCCTAGTTTCTCTAAGAAAGTTGACAGCTGTATGTGGAAGAGGATGCATAATGCTATGTCTGAAGCCTATTTTTCTTATTATGTCTGCCTGGTGCTGTGTGGTACGTCTTCTCATTCATACATTACTGAAGGGGGAAAAAAATCAGCATTTCTGAACACTCTGGCCTGTGATCAACTGTGGATTGGCCTGTGATCCAACTGTGCAGGGTTGGAACTTTCCCTTTATCTTTCAGCATTCACATATGGGGAGAATGACATCTATTATGTTCCCACATAGGGTGGTGGGGAGGGCACTGCTGCCCTGTTCCTAAATTATCTGAGTCAGTCTCCTCTGCAATTAAAGCTGGTCATAGCTGGCCTGTTCTTTATTAAACATTAATCCTTGACTGCCTCTTAGTGCATCAGTGAGCTCAGGATAGGATCTCCTCCTGAACCAGCCAGTGCTGCACTCTTAAGCACTGAAGTGGGAGGGATGCAGACTTTACTGTGCTCAAATTGGCAGTCTTGATGCAAACATAGGCAAATCTTTGAAACACCAAACTAAAAAGGCACCACTGAAGTTTGCTGCTGTAGACAACATCTCAGATATTAAGTCTTTCTTTTTGCCTGTAATAATAATAATAATAATAATAATAATAATAACAATACGCTCTGGCGTATACCAATACCTGTAACATTTCAGTATTGTTACCTTCTTTTGGGAACCTCTGTAGTGCTGAAGCTTTGAATTTTATATTAGTGGGCAAAATATAGTTGGTAAAAATGCTTCTTCCCACACAGTTTCTAAAAGCTCAGCATTTATGTTGTCTGCTAGGTGATGACCATCTAACTTAAGAATTTGAAGGTTTATCAGCAGTGATACTATACTTCAGAAAACAGAGTGATTTTTCTATTGAATCACAAAGAGGAACAACTCTAGGATTGAGGAGGCCCTTAGTCAATGTATGTATTTCTTTATTTCTGTATCATTCAACATTTATTTGTTGTTGTTATTGGTTGTTGTCATTGTTGTCATTGTTGTTGTTGTTGTTATGTGCCTTCAAGTTATTTCCCTAAAGTGAACTTATAAGGGGTTGGGGGGCAAGATTTGTTCAAAGGGTTGCCTTTGCTTTCTCCTAAGGCTGAGAGAGTATGGTTTGCCCAAGATCACTGAGTGGGTTTCCATGGCTGAGCAGGGATTTGAACCCTGGTCTCCAAAGTCATAGTTCAATGCTCAAACCACTACACCACACTGGCTGCCCTATTCACTTAATATAGACCTTTGGATTGCTGAAGAATAACAACAGTAACATCTTCTGGGGATTCCTGCTCGACCCCCTGGCCATTGGCCTATGGAGTCCCTTAGGGTTCTATTTTGTCTCCTATTCTGCTTAACATATACATGAAGCTGATGGGAGAAGTTGTATGGAATTTTGGGGTGTGGTGTCATCAATATGCCAATGACATTCTACTCTGCTACTACTTTCTATCCCAATCCAAGGAGGCTGTCCTGGTCCTAAACCAATGTCTGTTAGCAGTAATGGGCTGGATGAGGGCAAACAAGTTGAAACTTAATGCAGATAAGACACAGGTGCTCCTGGTCAGCTGGAAGGCAGATCAGGGAATAGGGATCCAGCCTGTGCTAGATGGGATCACACTTCCCCTGAAGACACAGGTTTGCAGTTTGGGGCAGTCTTCAGTGACCAGGAGTGCTTTTCACATTTAAAACTTGCACATTTTGCACAATTAAAACTTGTGCCTGTTTCTTGAGATGCTGGATCTGGCCTCAGTGGTACATGCTTTGGTTACATCCTGTTTGGACTACTGTAATGCTCTCTCCATCGGTCTGCCATTGAAGAGTGTTTGGAAACTTCAGCTGGTCCAAAGTGCTGGAGCCAGGCTGCTAACAGGGGCAGGTTACAGAGATTATACAATTCCCTTTTTGAAACAGCTCCACTGGCTGCCAGTTTGTTTCCAGGCACAATTCAAAGTGCTCGTGATATAAAGCCCTATATTGCTCAGGTCCAGGCTATTTGGCAGACTGTATATCCCTCTATGAGTTGGCCCGGGCTCTGAGATCCTCAGGGGAGGCACTTCTCTCCATCTCACCACCATCAAAAGCACAGTTGGCAGGGACACAAGAGAGGGCCTTTTCCATGGCTGTCCCTAGACTCTGGAACTCCCTGCCCAGGGAGACCAGAATGGCCCCTTCCTTGATGACCTTCTGCCGATAAACAAAAACCTTCCTTTTCAGACAGGCTTTCAAAACAGAAAGCTTTTAAAGAACAGCCTGAGGTGCTATATTGTTTCAATATATTTTAAACATTTTTATCTTCCTAAAGTAATTGTAATCTGTTTTTAATTATTGTAGTCATTTAATTCTGTTGTAATGTACTATTTTTGTATGTTATTAATTGTATTGTTTTTTAACATTGTAAGCTGCCCTGAGCCCCAGTCCTGGGAGAAGGGCAGGATGATGATGATGATGATGATGATGATGATGATGATGATCCATCAGTGACACCTTTATTGGCCAACCAAAATGTACAATATACTTGTTGCAAGCTTTTGATGCTCCATGGGCTTCTTCATCAGGCCAGATGTTACAAACCAAACAGGAGAAAAACAATTGGAGATGTTAATAAATGCCTACATATTGTTTCAGTCTTTCAAATTCAAACAAAAATCCATCAGTGATATCTTTATTGGCCAACCAAAATGTACAATATAATAATTATTATGGTTGGCTTAATCATTAAAATAAAACCACCCAAACCTAAAAATCAGACAGATTAATCTTCTGCACAAATTAATCACTTTGTCAAATAAAATCAGTCATTAAAAAAAGAAAGACACAGAGAAAAAGTAAGCTTTGGTAATCTTTAAAAATTCTTAAACCAATCTGAAAACATTATTAAATCTGAAAACACTATTAAAAGGCCCAGGAAGTAAGATGTTCTTTACCTGGTGCCAAAAGGTAGGTAATATACAAGGCACACTAGAAAGCACATTCTACAAGTGAGTGCCACCACACAGAGTGTCCTTTCCTTGGTAGCCACTAGCCAGACATCACTTGGTAGGGTACCTTGACAAATACTTCAGAAGATGTCCTTAGATTCTAGGTTAGTAAATAAGGAAGGAAATAATCCAGGTTATCTGCGAGGCCTCCACCAGGCATGTTGACATGAAACCGAAGGCTCATTAACAATGTCTTGCTATAGTTGGTGTGTCTTGAATACATGAAGGGATAGAGGCAGACTGTTAAGTAGAACATCATATTGCCTTCATGAGTTGCCTTCATGAGTTAGTCATAACATTTCATTTGCCTCCATATGTTATTTTCTTGTCTTTACAACTTTTGTGTTGTTTGTTATGTGCTGTTAAGTTGTTTCCAACTTATGGTGATCCTAAGGTGAACCTATTTCAGTGAGAGAGAGGATCTTTGAAAATTCAATCAAAGCTGCTTTCTCCTCCTAATGTTTCTATAAGTTATTCGCTGTACCACATATCCTAGATCATACAAGATGTTATGCACAGAGTACTAGTAGTATAATCTAACATTTGGTAAAACTTTATAGATGAATAATAACTCCCATTTACTTTCTTTGTTTCTTCTCCTGCCCAATCACACATTCCATCCTAATTCATTGTCATTTAATATATTTATTGGAAATGCAGAATTATCCAGCTCATTGAAAGCGAGCCAAGATACAGAGAATACATTCAGTATTTTGCTGCTTTGTTTGCAACAGATGTAGTGCATATAGTAAAGTTCCTGAAAAAGTATGTCTTTATATTGTAATATGATATTGTTAATAATTGATGTGGAGTATAAAGCCTATTACTACAGAACACCTATAAGTAATATTAATGAGTTAGACACATAAACTATATGGAAAGCAGTGCAAGCTTACTAATAAGGGTGTCTATTAAATTCTTTGGATCTTACTCCCAGGAAAAGTACAATTTTAGATGTGTTTATTTATTTTGCAAAAGAAAAGAAAAGAGAGTTTCTAATTTATGGATTAACAGAATCTGTGGACTTATTTATGAATAAAGGAAGCAATAATGTTGTGCATTAATAATTTACTGATGGCATGCAGAGATTGCAAAGTTAATTTTGAGACAAATGTAATTTGCATATTAGTTTTGTATTTGAAAATATTTTATATTTGTAGACACACAGGTTTTTTAAAATTATATTCCTCAGACACTGAATTTAAGTAATGGTCAACATGATTGGATCTTATGTGCTTTTAGTGTTGCCAAAAGTCTTTGTCTGGAAAGACTAACATACTCCATCTAATGTTCAATGGTCATACGCCTTACTATTTTAGCTATTCATGGATGGGTATTTTATAGATGCTAATTTCAAGAAAATGTTTGTGGAATATGGTCAGCCAATATTAATCTACTTGTAATCTTCCCCTTTTTTCTTTCTGCTTTTCCTATTCCCTTTCCTTCTTTTAAACATCCATTTTAAAAAAGAACAAGAAAATGTGCAAATATTCTTTATGAACCTGGATAGTCAAAATAGATTATGAACCTGGAGAGCCACCATGATGCCTCAGTTTCTGCTTGAGATTCATTCGTTTTCATGTAATCAAACTGATGACAGAAGGGGCAGGGGTCACACCTTCCTTGAGGATGTAGCTATGGGGAGAATAAGGTACTGCCCTCTAAATAAGAATTTATCCAATGAAATTTTCCTTAGCGGCAAAATTTCTAACATTGCCAAGGGTGAACACACTGAATATCATTTACACCATGATAATTTGTCCTGTCTTTTTCCTTTGGCACTTGAGCTGTATTTCTAAATGCTTAGCTGATGTTTTAAGTTGCTTCAAAGCTAGAAATGTAGGGACAGAAGGAAAGAATAGGAGTAGGGTAGAATTCTAATGAGATGGTGAGTAACCTTATTTTGTCCCACCCAACTACATCCCTGGCTCCCTCTTCTTTCATGTTTAATTTATCCTTTTATAAAATGCTTGAATAGGTTTAGAATTTATTTCCCATTAAAAATAATCCTGATTCAAACTTCTAGTTTATGAAAATCTCTTTAAGATCCAAATACACAACATTGCCAACACTGTCCACATTTTGTCACATAGGCTTTTAAGAAATGTTTAAAGATCTTAGGGTTTAAAGATGTCAAATCTTCCTATACAGATTCTGAAACTGAACAGGATTGAAAATCTGAAAAGCTGCCTTTTCTTACAGGTATAATACTATAAAAGCAAACTTCTGTGAAGTCAGCCTAGCATATTTTCTGGTTCACAAAACATAAGATATTTGGGGTATGTAAATATTCATGCCAAACTTCAAGAGCTATACAATAATCCAATTCACTGTCTTCCATCAGCAAGTCACATCCTTCAGTGTTATATTAGTTACTGGGTTGCTCCCAAAGAAATAGATTAACTATTATCAACAACTTTAGAAAATTGAGAGTTTTGCCAAAACCCTTGCGAATGGAAAAGTAATACAGCTTACGAACAAAATCAGATCTAAGTAATCAGAATTTTTAAAAAAGCTGATTGACTCTTTATGCTTAGGTGATAGATGTAAGTATTACCAGCATTAATATTATAATTCTCAGAAAAAGTCAACAAGTTTTATTGTGAATATAAGATTTTACTCCTTCCTTCCAACTTAAAGGTTGCATTGTGAAGTTGAAGGTTTTCACAGCCAGCATCCATGGTTTTTGTGAGTTTTTCAGGCTATGTTCTAGAAGATTTTCACCAGCATCTGTGGATGGCATCTTCAGAGAATGCTGGCATGGAAGTAAGTGGGGTATATATATATATACTGTGTGACCCTTGGTTGCGAGAAGGTGATTTACATGATAATCTGTGTGTTGTTCTGTTGCTGAATAGCAAGACCTCAGGGTGGGAGGATATGCAAGGAGGCATTGTGTCTATTTAATTAGTGATCCATTGTCTGCTGGGAAAACCCCTGACCCTGGGTGGTTTTCATTGGCATTTTGCTGGGTCTTGATTTTGATGTTTTTCAGGACTTGCAGCCAGACTATATCTAGATGTTTGTGATTTCAATGGCTTCCCTGTGTATTCTGACCCGATAGTTGTTGGCATGGTCCAAAATTTCAGTGTTTTCAAATAGCATTTATGCCCAGGATGGTTTATTAGGTGTTCTGCTACTGCTGATTTTTCTGGCTGACTAAGTCTGTAGTGTCTCTCATGTTCCTTGATTCATATTTGAACACTGAATTTGGTGGTCCCTATATAGACTTGTCCACA